AAGGCAGGGGAGAAGAGGGCGCAGGCTTGTTCTAGGACTGCAGTATCCAGGCCTCTAGCCACTTGCATTTAAAACTGCCACATTTTTTCCTTAGAGATAACATGCTAGGGTGTGGGTGATAATGAATTCAGCTTCTGACAGTAGCAGGACTGTTAAGTAAGCATTTGCAGTTTTGTAGTAAAGAAAGTTGTTCTTTGGGAAAGGGGAGTGTGAGAAGGTGCTGAGCTGAGAGCAGTTTTCAGAGCATTAAAGGGGTGAGAATGCTGGCCTTGGGACCTAAAGGCTCAGTGAGGGGTCCCTTTGCTGTGTCATAGAGCGGCTTTGTGAGGTTTCATTATCACCCACACCCTAGCATGTTATCTCTAAGGAAAAAATGTGGCAGTTTTAAATGCAAGTGGCTAGAGGCCTGGATATTGCAGTCCTAGAACAAGCCTGCTCCCTCTTCTCCCTGCCTTTTCTCCAGGTTTGTATGCCTAATTGGTAACTTAAAGGTTTGGGAACCAGAGGCAAAAGTACCCAGTGAGCCTGAGAGAGTATTTCTTATCTAGAGGAGGGGACAGTCATAGAGGAGATACGGCATTTACAGTCCATGGTGATGGCTTGGCTTTGTGGGGTGAGAGTGAAACTGAGGTAGGTGACTGTGCTTCCGGACAACTGGGCTTTATAAGGGGATGCATGGTGGGCCTGGTCAGGCACCAAGGTAGAATGAGAAAAGCGTGGATAAAGGTGGTGTCTAGGAAGATCCAGTGTATAGGTGAGGTGGCTAATGGCTGTGAGACTAGTCCGTCAACCCCATAATAGAGACTGAGGTGGGGACAAGGGCTCCAGCGAATTTGGGGAGGGCAGAATAAGTGGCCTCAGTGTCAGTTAAAAAGGAGATTGGCTTACCTGCCACCACAATCATTACCCGAGGTTCTGTCCTGTTAATGTAAGTCTGTGGGGCCCTGTCAGGGCCTGGGCAGTTTCAGCCTTCAGTGGCCAGAGTCACCCAAGTAGGATTCAGAGGTAAGCTCAGGATGAGCTGCCGCTGCCTACTCCTTTCTGAGTAGCAAACTCGGAGTGACCAAAACCAGGGTGATGGCTCCCCAAGTGGAATGTCCGTTGTGAAGTGGCCCAAAGGTCAGTTCTTCGGGAAGGGGCATCGATTCAATTATTTGATCAGACCTAACAGAAACCTCAGAAGCAGGCAGAGTTTCAGCTAGAATTAGGGACCCCCCCCCCTCTGAGTCATGAAGGAGGTAAAATTAGTTAAAGGGACTGTACATAGCAGACAGAAAGATATAGAACTTGCTGTCTTGAGTAGGTTGTGCAGGTTTAGAATATAAATGGAATCAGATGTCCCTAGGGCCCTAAAGCCTAGTGCCTGTGCCCCTGGAGCCCCATCCTTTCCTCTAGCACAGCTCTTACTAAGAAAATTCAAATTTTCTATTACTAGTCTGTCTTCTTCACTAGACTGTGAGCTATGTGAGTGCACATATGTGCTTTCCTTCTCTCTAACCTCAGTACCTATTACAGTGTCTGTCACAAAGTAGATGATCATAAATGTTGGTTCAAAGAATAAACATACTTAAAATAGGTTTAAATTGACACAAACAACAACCCTGTCTCTGGCTTCTCATATACAAAAGGACATTAGAAAACAGCCTCATAGATAAACTCAAATACTATCAAAAGGAGGTGTTCTTTTTTTTAAAAAAAGATTTTGTTTTCTTTTCTCATTTTGGTAAAGGAAATGAATTTTAGTATCAAGAGAATGTGTAAACTCACCAGAAGTGACAATATCATAACACTGTCACAGGAGAATTTGCACCTACAGATGAGCTAGTTGAAGAACAAAGTTAGTTTTGGAAGGTTAGAAAAAAAGATTCTGAAATGTCACATCCACTTTATAAAATCACTACCCTTGGCATCATCCTTTTAATCTACCTGGGTTTGAGAATAGCATAGAGCCTTTGAAATAAAGACAATTAGCACCTCAGACAGGGCATCCACATGCAAAATTTTGTCACCTCTCAGAGGCTTAGGAGGTGACAAGTTCAGATAAGAAGACACTTTCAACTTTGGTTGACAGTTTGTCAATGCTTTTATATTTGATTTGAATGTTGTAGTTTGCTTTCAACTGTGAATCTCTTTTCCTCCACCTCATGATTTTTATTTCTCAGGCCATTTAAAATCAACAGGAACAAAAGTCTTTCCTGTATGGGGTGAGAACAGAGGAAACAGCTCTTGCTTCTTGCACACAAATGAGTTTAGTCCATCTCCCCTCTATTTCTCTCTAAAGTATGCTTGGCTTTCCTTTAAAACACAGAATGTTAAAGCTAGAAGTAGGCTGAGGTCATCTAGTTCACTCCATTTGACCTTTGGAGAAAATGAGGCTGAGAGAGGAAGTGATTTAGTGGCAAAACATTGAGTATAACTTGACTCTGTAATTGCTGGACTACTTCTTCCAATTCATCTACCCATTTCAAAGGTGGGCCAGAGGCATGTAGAACCAAATGTGTGTGTGTGTGTGTGTGTGTGTGTGTGTGTTTTATTTTCTTGAGAGCACTGATTTAATTAATTAATTCACTCCACAAATGTATTTAACATCTAATGTGTAGCAGACACTTAGGATACAGTAGTGACCAAGGAACAAAAATCCTGCAGTCATGGGCCTTAATTATAAGTGGATTATATTTGTATTTGGGACCCCTCCTTCCTAACTCTTTACTGGTGCCTCCATTGCTCTTCTCTTTCATTTTTCCTCCTTTCCTTTCTTGCGAGAATGGCAAAAGAGAAGGAGGAGAGCTCTTTCAATATCTCTCTCTACATTTTAAGCTCAGCGTTAAGTTTTGAATTTGTTCAAGTCAGGTTTAGTATTGGTGTAGCACTAGAGTGAAGATGTCAGTATTTTTCATCAACACTGCAGCAGTGGGCTGGCTCAGCTGTCAGCTTGCTTGTGAGATGACAATGAGGTACTGGATGTGAGAGTTGTACTATTACCTTATAATTTGTCTGTTCTTTTTTTATACAATTTTACTTGTGCTGAACCCCATCATACCTAGCTGCTTTGACAGGTGTGCTATTTTAGCAACATAGAACAAAACAGAGAAAGAAAAGAAGGATGCATGGTACGTTTTGCTGTCAGATCCAGGTTGCTATGTTCCTAAGTTTGTGGATGATTTGTTCAGGGTTGTTCAGAGACAGAAAAGGCTTTTAACTATGTGATACTAAATGTTCTCACAGTTACCTCCCAAGTGAGCTGCTGTCCATAAGCACTGGATGAAGGGATCTCCTTCCCTGTCTTCTTCTTTGTTTGAAATTCCACCATTGTGATTAATTTCTTTGGACTAATCATTTGCCCACTCAAAATATAAAGAGTTCAGGGAGGACTAAGCTCTCAAGTCCTTAATATTGGCGTATGCATTCACTTATCAGATCAATTTCTTCCTTGACCCAAAGAATGCAAAAGGGTGAGAGGTGAAGTTGGCCTTAAACAAATGATGTAGGAAGACGATGAGACAATCTTGGCTCAGTTCCCCAGAACTATCCTCAAATACCATCTTAAATGTTGTTTTGTTTATTTTTATTCTTGGTGTTGCAAATGCCTCTAGGAGGCTTATGTTTGTGCTTTATCTACTAAGGTTTATAGATTCTAAGGTGGGGCATACTTCAATCAAAAAGGAGAGTTACTACTAGCTGTCACTGAAATCTTAGAGATTTGTTCTCAAGCCTAGTAGGTGGAGAACAAATATCTGGCTTTGTTACAAGGCAGCTCTGTGCATCTGATTCATTGGTAGGACATATGAGGATTTAAAAATCATTCTCCCTGTTGAGCTCCCAGCCTTGCTGTGATCTTAAGGAACTTGGTGCTGAAATTGTGGGAGAGCTACAACGGACAACATAACTTCAGCTATTAAAATCCAATTTAAAAAGTATTTTACATAGTCAAAAGGGAAAATGTAGAAGACTGTTCACCTTTAAGCATGAAACAAAGTCTTATTCTAGTGAAAAAGAGGAAGTTTTGGGGAAGTATTACTTAATAGGACATTTTGAAATTGAAGCAATGCCTTTATTTCAGAGAAGAAAATGAAGGTTGAAAAGTTAAAAAAATGATACATGGTTTAGCATCAACTGAAGACAAACATATTATCTATTACTAACAGAAGATAAAAGTTACAACACAATTATCAACACTTGCAATGTAATTTAAAACAAGTTTTATGCCCCAAATGCTAAAAGGTGGGTCCTATACATCACAGGGCACATACAAGTTCATGTAAAGACAAAGCACTGATTAAATGATTTAATTCTCTCATCTACTGCCCATTAAATAGAGAAATCTGGGACATCTTTGCACATAGACTGATTTTTAAACCTTGACCAGCACTCTGGGATCTTGGACAAAGAAGTAGAAAAAAATCAGTATTTGCTCAGGATCAGGATTGCTGAAGAAAACTGGAAGGGTAGAAGTGAAGGGGGAGGAAGAGGGAGGGGAGGGACTTGCCCCAAGTCCCTTGTTCACCTACTACTTCTGATTCTGTAGTGGTCTTCTGGCTGTGTTCAGTAGTGATTGCACACTGACACTACTAATAGTTTTTGTGTTTTGTTCTCAAAGCTTTTGTCCTTTCATTGTCTCTCTGTGAGTTTCTGTCCCATATGAAGGTCTTGCACAACGTATCTGTATCATCAATCCTTGGGGTACTAGTTAAGCTCAGTTATCCCTGTGGGCGCCTAGGCAAATGGCAAGAACAGAAGCATTACCAAGCAGTCCTGTGTGTGCATGTTGGTAGTACAGCCCTGACCTTGCAGGGACCTTTTTCCGATTGTCCTCTGTTGGGCAGGTGGGTGCTGTACAGGGAGGGGATCGAACCCAGTGGCAACAACCAAGCTGCTAAATTGCTGAGCTGGTTTTAATTGAAGGAGGTTTTAAGGCAGGTAGGCAACATCCTGTTGTTCGGGTGCTCCTCTCTCTTTTTTGAACTGGGAGTCAGGTGGCTGACTCGTGCTTGGTTGCAACAGCAGCAGCAACAGCAGCAGCAACAACAGCAGCAGCAGCAGCACCAGCAGCATCTCTGTTCTCCTATTCTAAACCTCGGCCTGCGCAAAAGTCCACCAGGCCATGGACGCAGTGGCTGTGTATCATGGCAAAATCAGCCGGGAGACAGGAGAGAAGCTCCTGCTTGCCACCGGTCTGGACGGCAGCTATTTGCTGAGGGACAGCGAGAGTGTCCCAGGGGCGTACTGCCTGTGTGTGCTGTGAGTACATCGTGGGGTGGCTGGGCCCGGGACTTGCAGAAGATGGGCACAGGCAGTGGGTATGAGTGGTGGGGGCAGGCAATGTGCTTTCTCAGGTCCAGCGCAGGGCCATGGTGGACCATGCTGTGTATTTCACTCCCTGGGCCTCCTGATCTCCATAAAAGGCATCCGCAGGACCTTTTGGTTCAATTGCAGAAAACTCCTTTTTGAGTGGGGAAACACAGTGGGGAATTTACCTTTGTTCAGAGAAAGACCCAGGATCCCGACTTACCACTTCCCCTTTGTCCTCTAGTAGAGGCCAGCAAGGTAGAGGCCTGGGATGATGGAACAGCCAGATTTAGGGCCACCAGCTCCTGAGAGAAAGAAAGGCTTCTCCCCAGCTTTCTTTAAATGGATTTGGAGGTATCATCCCAAAAGAAGACCATCAACTTCAGGAAGAGAAAGCAGACTAAGAATCTAAATCCATTACTTTGAGAATGCAATGTCAGTTTCAGTAGACTGCTGAAATGGAGATGTTTGTGAGTAAAACTGCCTCTCTGGATCTGCTTATTCAGCTTCTTTTAGAAGAGCTGTGTCTGGGGCCGGACCCCTTCTTGATAAAAGTTAGTACAGACAAAAGTTGTAAAGGACTTGGAGGGAAAACACCCTTGTTATGAATCAGCTTTGCCCTTCACCTAGGCACATTTAACGCCCCATTTTGAATCAGATGCAACTTCGTCTTTTCTCCAAGGCTCCAGAGTCATGCGGATCTGAGACCTAATCCTGTGCTAGTCCAATGCTAGGTTTGTGACTTTAGCAAGTTAACCCTCAGTCCCTCAGTTTTCTTATCTATAAAATGGGTATAATATTACTACCTACCTGATAGAATTGTGAGGGTTAAATGCCATAATACAAGTAAAAAAATTGAGCACTGGACCTGAGACACAGTAAATATTCTGTAAATGTAAGCTATTATTACTATTATATATTTTCTTTTCGTCAGTTTCTTTCAGTACCCAAGGGGCATTTTTAAGGAAGTACGTAGCTCAATTACTTTTTTGTCAGCAGGATAAAAACACCCATATGAAAACACTGGCTCTGCAAAGTAGGTTCTAGATAGAAACAAAATGAGGGAAAATGCTTGGTAGTAATTTCGGTACCTAATGATACACTGCAAGATTTTAAAATAGCTCCTGGGCCAATGAAGAAAGATTATACCGAGGCTGGCGATAGAGGATTTTTGTTGTTTGTTTGTTTATTTATTTAATGATCAAGCCATGTTTATGGCAACTGTCAGGCCATGCTAAATGCATTTATTATAAAGGCTCCAAAGGAAATACGTGGAAGCTATTCAATCTCTTGGGCTCATATCTTTATGTTTTGCTTATATTATTTTTCCCAAGCGGAAACTGGGGAAAGTCAATGAGAGCCAAGTAGCATTCTTAGGCTCTGTTCTTCTCAAAAGAAGATGGAAAAGTGAGTGGACCAGCCCAGCCATTGTAGTTCAGTGATTGAGCATTGACCTTTGAAACAGGAGGTCATGGTTCGATTCCCAGTTGGGACACATGCCCAGGTTGTGGGCTCTGTCCCCAGTGTGGGGCATGCAGGAGGTAGCCGGTCAATGATTCTCTCTTATCATTGATGTTCCCATCTCTCTCTCCTTCTTCCTTCCTCTCTGAAATCAAATAAGTGCTCTCTCCTGTCTCTGTTACACTATCTATTTTTCTTCAAGGAGCTTTAAACTACCTGACATTTGCTTGTTTACTTATTATTGCTGGGCTCTCCTGCTAAAATGTAAACTTCCATGAGGGTAGGGACATTGTTTCATACACCAGGAACATAATCTGGCACATTAAAAGCATTATGAGGCACATAATAGGTACACAATATATATTGTTGAATTAATGAATGAACCATCAAAGCAAATACTGTTTCTTACTACAAAGAGCTTTGGACCGATATCAGGAGGCCAGTGTGTGGAACTCTGGGGAAGTCACTCAACTTCTCTGGGTTCTGGTTTCCATATTTGTAAAACAGAAATAGTAATGCTTTCCCTGCCTTCTGCATAAGATGGCTGTTTATAAAATAGGCAAGAGATGAGGACAACTTTAGCATTTTGCCCATGTAGGCCAGGATCATATAAGAAATTAATTTAGGCAGGTGGGAACTTCTCAAACATTTAAGTTTTCATCCAAAGGGAATCTTGCATAAATACAGTTTATTTCTTTTAATTTTTAAAATATCTATTTTTAAAATCTATCTTTACTATTGAAAGTACTAGAGGCCCAATGCATAAATTCGTACACCAGTGGGGTCCCTCGGTCTGGCCTGCAGGATCGGGCCAAAACTGGCTCTTCACAGGGAAGACACTAGGATATATTGCTTTTTATGAAAGTTTCACAACTTTTTTGAGTCGGGAGTCCCTTTTGATAAATATAACCCTTTCTTCCCCCCTAATTTTAATACTAGACTGTAATAACAAAATCACATTTCATTTTTAAATAAACCATGCACTCATTTTAAACCAATTCATCCCTGAGGGGTCCTGGATGGTGAGAGGGCAAAGGCCAGGCTGAGGGAACCCACTGGTGCAGGATCGGGGCCAGGGAGGGACTCGGGAGGTTGGCTAGCTGGGAAGGGACTGTGGGAGGGCTCCAACATTGACCCCCTCCAACCTGTTCCAGCCCCACCCCAGGCCTTCACTGCACTATTGTCTGTGTCAATGGATTATGCATATGTGCATATAAGTTCTTTGGTTAATCTATCCCCCCCCCCGCCTAATTTCTTCCCCTCACCTTCCCTCTGAGATTTGTCAGTGTGTTCCATGCTTCCATGTCTCTGGATCTATTTTGTTCATCAGTTTATTTTGTTCATTAGATTCTACATATAAGTGAGATCATGTGATACTTGTCCTTTCAGCTTTTATGACTCTGAGTTTCCATGCAAATCTCCTTATGCAGTTGCAGAAAATAGTAGGCAAATTGGGAGTCCCCCTATAGCATCTTTTGATGGGCACACTGGGCTCTCCAAGTCTTAGAGGTGACTGCCAGACTGTGCTTCGCAGGGAAGACACTAGGATATATTGCTTTTTATGAAAGTTTCTCAACTTTTTTGAGTCGGGAGTCCCTTTTGATAAATATAACCCTTTCTTCCCCCCTAATTTTAATACTAGGCTGTAATAACAAAATCACATTTCATTTTTAAATAAACCATGCACTCATTTTAAACCAAAACATGTATGCTTATGATGTGCAGTAGAAATAGCCATGTAAATGGTGTCATATACACATGAACAATAAGGTATAAGTAACAAACATTCAGTGATTATCGGGTTTGCTCAGAATAGCTACTCATTCTATCTTCTGTTTACTCCCATTATTCAACAAGGTTTGGTTGAGTTTCAGTTTCTGTATTTTTAATGTAGGAATACAACATTGCATTTGCCTCCAAACTATAAACTATACTTTAAAGCTATGCGTGTTCCTTTCCACAGTTCTTAACCCTCAGTCATGGCCTTCAGATAGTCCTTTTTCCCTGTTCAGTTTTGGAAAATTGAATCTCATAAAGTACTAGAGAAGTTTTCTATTTATAGGACTGCTCACCTACATTTAAAGTGAGAAATTGTTCTTTAACTATTTTCAATAAATAAATCTATATTTTTTGTACAGTAAGTCTATTAAAAATAGTTCTTAATATCTATTCATATTATAGAAAATTTGAAAAATGTAGACAATGGGAATGAGGGAGAAACCATCTATAGTTTTATAACCTAAAGACAATTATTATTGAAAATTAAGTTGATTTTCTTCTAAATTTTAATTTTAATTTAAAATTTCTTTGTAAACACACATGTGCTCTTACAATAATTGTATTCTGATGAGCTTTCTGCTTAACATGAAAAAAACCCATTTACGATGGCTGGTTTTCTCAGTGGTTAGAGCATCGTCCTGCAGACGTTTCCCGGCCCATGTCAGGGTGCAAGCAGGAGGCAACCAACCAATGTGTCTCTCTCGCTCTCCCTTCTCCCTCCCTTCCAGTTTGTGTAAAATAATCAATGGAAAAAATATCCTCAGGTGAGGATTTAAAAAAATCTCACAAAACACCCATTCATATGTAATGTTCTTACAAATGATTTTTAAAAATTATTATATTTTTAAAATATATTTTTATTGATTTGCATGTGCCCTGACTGGAAATTGAACTGTGATCTCCTGGTTCATAGGTTAACACTCAACCACTGAGCAACGCCAGTTGGGCTCAAACATTATTTTTAATGGCTGCATGATAGTCAAGCCAGTGACTGCACTATATTGTCCTTAACTAGTAATCTACTTTTAGACATTAGAATAATTCCATTTTTTTTGCTATTATAAATTCCATTATGATTACTATTTCAGTCCAGAAAGTTTTTTTTGTATTTGTGATTACTTCTTTAGAATACATTTTAAAGATGTGCAAGTTCTAAGCCAGAAACATAAACAGCTTGGGATTTTTGATGTATACATGATCAGCGAATATTTTTTTCCTAAGTGATTCTTCCAATTCATATATTTGTTCACCAGTAATGCATGAGAGTGTTCATTTCACCACACCCTCCCTAGAAGTGAGAAATCCTATTTAAAAAAATTCTTGAAATTTGATGTCTGACTCTTTATTTCATGTTTCTTTGATTAGTGATTGAGTCTGTTTTATAACTGGAAAGCTGCTATAGTTCTTCGTTCATGAATTAGCTCTTTATGTACTTTACCCATTGACCATTTGGATCTTACTATTTTTCTTAACACATTATGGATTTTTATATCTTTTTTTCAGTTTCGTGTTTGCCATTAGTTTTCTTTGACACACAGAAAAATTAACATTTTTAGTAGTCAAATCTGTCACTCATTTTCTTTGTGTTTGATTTCTTTCTTTGCTTCCCAGCTTAGACAGTTCTTTCTCCTCCAGAAATGTCATAAAAACTTCATTCAATTTTTCTTTTAAATTTGTGGTTTGGTTAATTTATATTTAACGCTTTAATTCCA